ATATATGTACATATGTTACGATACAAAAGTCTAAGGAATAATCAGTTTTGGGGCCAAAGTCGTCGCCGTGCCCCGCGCAAAAGGGCTCACAGTGCACAGCTAAATACTAGGACAATCCGAGCATACCAACTATACAAACGCATTTCACTCAATTGCTTATGCTGGGGACTTGTGCTCAGAAAGTAGTTCTTTAGCTTCCTCTTCCTCACTGTCAAGCAACTATAAAAATTATGTCCAGTTTATCCAGCAGTGCAAAGCAAAAGAGATAAATCGACGACCCGGACCAATACTACTACTCTTTTTCCTTTGCTTATAATAGTCATAGTCTAACTAAGTACAGTCAACCTTAATAAAAGAAGCGGTCTCGAACTGAGGGATATAAACACAGTTTCTGATTGTCCGCACTCTCTTCGTAGGGGAATAACGCAATGCATGCCTATGTAAAACAATACATAGACATGCAGATTTAGATTCCAACCTCTAATTATGTACATAAAAAAGCCCAGCGCTTTACTGTATACGAAGTGTACCAAATGCACTTGTGCATATGCATGTGTGTGCATGCTGAGTTTGTGTTAGAATGCACATGTATGGTAAACTCATAATTGGTGCGGGTTCGGTATTTGTGTACGAACGGTCATAATGCTGCACTTCCACTCCGTGTATGTGGCGAGCTTGCACGAATTAATACTTATAAATTAATAAGCATATTCAAATTGCGCGCATCCTTCCCATCTCTCTTCTTGTCTATGTACCGGGTCATATATGGGCTTACATGTGTATAAGTTACAAATGTAAATGCGTATGTTATTAATTTTAGTATTTGTGTACTTCAAGAGTAGGCACACATATTATAGATTATGAAAATGAGCACTAGTCTCGTCTCTTCAAATCTATTGCAATCGTTAAAGCGAAATATCCAATTGCTGATCAAGCTGACAAAATATCCATCCAAATCGATCGATCGAATGTCTGTCTGCTTATAAATGCTAGTTTGTTTCCCTTTTCGCCTGTGAACGGCATTCCAAGTATGATGTGGCGTCAATAAATACGAAGTTCAATAGTTAGCATTCCCATCGACAGCTGTCATTTTGGTGCTGTGCAGCAGTATGATTGGGATGGTTAAATTATTATAAAAAATATAATTATATTACTATAAATTATATAAAATTACATATAAATTATAAATATAAGTATATTATTTCATATCCGTGGCTCGAACTCGTTAAATAGGGTTCCCCTTCACGGCAACTAGAAAACTAGTTGAAATCGGATAAAGAATTAACATTAAAAAATACACATTTGTTTTACACACATACTAGGGGCTCAGACAAAATCTCCTTCTGAAATCAATCAAGGAAGTTTACCCCTATTTACTAATTACAGTACAATTCTCCCGCCTAGCACCACATTCTTCATTTTCTGATATATGTACATACATATGTACATACGTTATCACACGCATTCGGACGGTACACCGCTTCCAGCAGCCGTAACTGATATTTGCTTTTGCATAAATAATAGTTGGAGTACAAAGAATGCAGCTCCGCATCTATGTTGATGGTGTGCATATGTGCACCTACTTATGTGTATAAATTAAATAAGTTATTATGCGAATATTGTACTCACGTATATAATGTATGGCGGCAATACATATGTACATATATGGCAGGCCACACATTCCCATTTGCGGGACGGTTTTTTGTTTGCTATGTGACAAGTGTGTTAGTGTGTTCCTGTATGATTATCTACATGTGCACCAGCTTTATCTACTTTATTCGTAAAGAAGTTGTTGGAAAATAATTTCAAGATGAGTTTCAAATAATAAAAATCAATTATTGCAATGGAATGATTTTATTATATAAAATAAATTAGTTCTTACGGCTCAAAATGTCATGTCTTTTTTCTCTTTTATTAATATGTATGACTTTATTCCTAAATATATTTTCAAGATAAATCGCAAACTTAATTTTCAATATAAAATAAGAGGTGTTTTGTTCTTTTGAATTTATTTTATGTTTTTGCCTAAAAATTTGACACTGACACGTAGTGACGATTAGTGCTGTGAGAGTGTGCAAAGACGACTTATGTACATACAAAATGGTCACACAAAATTTTTTAAAAAATTTAATAGTTTTAAGCATAAGAAAAAATACCAATTTAAGCTGTTTTGAGGTACATTTTCATTATTAATTTTAAAAAAAATACTACAAAATTTATTAAAAATAAAATAAGTTAGTAAATAATATCTTGAAACATATAAGAAATTTGTTGCGTTTAAAATTTTTTGATAAAATTTTTTTTTCAGCTTTTACAGACCGTTGAAGTTTCAGATCGACGGTGGTTGAAATAAGCTGTGAGCCACTGTATAAGCGTAGGATTGAAGTTTTTCTGTCGTGGTCGGTCGGGTTCGGATTGGAGTGCAACATTACTACCACGGTATTTTCAAAGCTAAAAGGTTGCATACCACGTAGTGATAGAGACGTAGAATCGATATTTCGATCCGCATACTGAGATTGTCCCAAAGAGGATTAGTTTAGATGAAATTGAGTAAAAGTCCAAAATGAACATTTTGAATGCTGGAGCTGTTTGGGCTTAATGCCCCACCTTTTTAACACTATTCAAATACTATTCAAATACTTCATCCTAGTCCGTCGTTCTGAATGAAACCTTCGTTAGCTGTAGAGTCCTGGAACCAATTTTATTTTGTCAAGCTGATCTGCCAATTATTAAAATATGTAAGAACATTCCAAGAACAATAATAAGATATTAGAAAAAATTCGATTTAAAATCGATTATGGACATCGGGTTGCTATGGAAAGCTCAAGTATGTATACATATATTTAATTAGTATATTTTTTAAATGAAATTGGGGTCGCACGCACATACATAACTTTATGTATTCAGAAAGAATGACATCCATGGGAACATGCACACACACATATACATATGTAAGTACATATAAATTAATATTCTAGGTGCAGATGTAAACGTATACAGGTATTTGAGGGCAGCAAGTGTAAGTACATAGTAATTGGCATACATACATACCTTATACGTAAATACATACGTATGTACAGACATTCCGTGTGCAGATTTCAAATAAAATGCTTTGGTAATAGTTACGTATGCATGCAAGTGTATTATAATAGATATGCATACATTTTATTGCATTGATATAAAATTGCATATACGAGTATGTATGTTCCAACATAAAAACATGTTTGTAGTGAAATGAACTGAGTATTAGGTCTTCCTTAAAATTATATTTAGAATGACAGAATAGTGTTTCAAAATTTAATTGTGTTTCAAAAGATTAGGGCGAGAAGAACTGTAAACTGTAAGCGTAGGCCATGCTACATACATATGTAGCTTAGATTAGTTTAGTATTAGTTCGCTTAGTCGAAGCTAAATATAAGGCTTTATGTCAACAAGAAACCACACAAAAAGTACCCCTTATTTTTAGCAAAAAATGTTGATCTGGTAAATAAATATTCATCTTTTGATGGTTATTATTCTACATTTGCATACATTATATTCGCCGTTGATTTCAAGAAACCTACATATACATACGTGTATGTAGATCAGCCGCAATAAGATTGACGCATATATATACATACATACGTAGTTCTGATAATTTGAATTCGCGAATCAAATGTGTGTGGCGAAACCTTCGTACACAAACCTGTGTACGAGTTGCCCACTGCTTCGAAACTAAGTAGAAAGTTGTAATTTGGTTAAATGAACAAGAAGTTGCATTCGTTCTCACAGCTTGCGACAATTTGGGGCATACTTTCACGCACTTATCATCCCAATTGGCCAACAAGTAAAGGGGACGAAAAGGCCAAGGGGAATGTTTTTAGCATACTCGGACACTGTTTAATAACTATAAAAAACTATATGGCGAAGCCAGCAATCGCGATCACGATTTGCGGTCAAAAGCAGATGGTGGAATACTTACCCAGGGAGAGGATAGAAGTATGAAAGAAAAATGAGTGGAGCACGGCACATACACATGGTAAAGCGACCTGTACCTGTATCAATAAATTACATTTGTATACGAGCATGTGCAAGTGCACAGCTGTTTCCGCGGCTTTGATCTGACTAAAATGTGAAAAATGGGTTAAACTTTCATAATATAACACTTGTTGGTTCAAATGCTTCTTATATATTTCTATCTGTCGGTCGCAGATAAAGTGGCGTCTGTACCAAAGCACGTTCTTCATTTCGACTATAAGTGCTTCACCGGTGAGATACGTTTGGCTACTATCACCCAAGACATAGTGGTATAGGAATACAAGCAGATGCAATCAGGCACGCACCGCAGGTACACACATACATATATCAATGAGGAATAGTTTCTGATGGCACATTCATGATTTAAATAAATCGTAGAAAAGCTAATGACCCTCGAAATTGCATTTCAAAGGACATTTGGCGGGTAAATATTCTTGATCTTCCGCCTGGTTCTATGCTCTGGTACAAATATATTGAAGTTTTTGGGGAAGAAAAATGTATATGTGTACTGTACGAAAAAGGCTTGGATAAAAAGGCTTCCTAAGCCTGGATACGATTTTTCTCGGTGTACGCACGATAGATACACACATGTGTAGGGTCACGAAGGCGCAAGCGCAGCCAATTGGCAGCAGTATCAACCCCTGAAGGGTCAGGTCACCCAGCCCCAGCCCCAATCCGGTCCAGTCCCGCGTTCAAGTTTCAAGGGGACAAAGAACCAGATGGCACCGACGCTGATGCGAACGCGGCTCCAGTGCGTAACGGTACCCGGTACCTTTAGCGGTATCGGTACCAGTACCGGTATCAGCGATCAGTGTCAGTGGTTCAGTGGTGTCCCGTTTGCGCCTAGGGTTGCTGCTACTTAGTAATTTATGCATAAAGCGGACAGCTAGCTGCAAAAGGGTCAGAGCGCGTTGTTCAGGACAAAGGAAAAGTAATCACTCTGACAGACATATGTAGGTAGATGGGTCAGGGAACGCAAGACCTCGACGTGTTAAAGGGTTGATATTCGGACACTGATTTGCCCACAGCTTTGCATCCCTCGGGCTTGAATCATTTACATATTCTACGTTCAAATTCTCTTTGAATTTTGCACCTTTCAAACGGACCCGGAGATCGAAACTTATCGTACGTAAATATACTTCTCCTCTGTGGAACTGAACGCTGCTGTCGCGTGAGTTAGAATAATAATAATTTGACCGAAATAAAGAGGAGCACTTTGGAGCCTGGAAACGCATTTCCGCTCTTCTGTCTCAGTACCGTTAGTTAGTGCTAGGACAACTTCCTTCAACCCTATTTGATCTATTTTATAGATTTTTGACAAAAATGTAAACATCGTAGTCCAAAACAATATATAAATATTCCTATTCCAGCCATATCCATTCGAATGCATACCATTTTCGGGCTCAGTTCAACTTGGCACCTGGGCCACAGGAACTACTGAAGTTATCTATAGTAGACAACCGGGTAAAAATCTAAAAATCGGTTTAAAATCTAGCTAAAAAGATTTTCATTAAAATATAAAAAAAGCGTTTGCGAGGACTTAATAAAAATGTGAAATCGTGGCACAAACACACTGCCATTTTGTTTTACTCGTATAGTAGAAGCAGCCCCTTTACACGTCCTTCCAACTGCCCACCACCCATCCGCAGAACAAACCATCCAAAAATCTATACATACCCACCAACCGTCCGGTGAACCGACCGCCCGGCCAGGCGACTACCCTTTTTGTTCATGAGATCCAAGTCATCGTTAGTTGTAGTTGCCCTTTTTGTTGTTTCTGTTTTATATTCTTTCTTTATCTCTTTCTTTTTCTTTATTTTTTATATTTTCTGTTTTGAATAAATGTTGGCATGGCGCGCTTCCTCCCGCAAGAAAACCAAGCGAGGGCTGCCAAGGCCGCCTTGATGGATGACGATAGCAGTGCCATGGCAATGGAACCCCCTTGCTCCAAGTTTGAGTTGAGCTGAGTTGAGTTGAGCAAAGTGGCGTGGAGTTCGAACGGGGTAGGGAGACAACTTCGCGCAAATAAAATGTAATTGAGGGGAGAATAAGCCTAAGACGATGCTGCCACTGACAAAACTTGTGATTGTCGACCGGCCTTTTACTGGGATAGGAGGGTAGGGTTACTCGGGCTGGGGAATGGGGTTGGTAACTCTCTGATAATATTAAACCGGACGCGGCCCAGTTCTGGGCATGCTGAAAACAATTTAAAATTTAATTTCAGCAAAGAGCAGAAAAATCAACAGAAAAATGGTTGTGGGAAAAGAAAGTGCGATGAGAATATTTCGAATTCGTCCCACTTCCATAGCTGTAGGAAAACCTACACCCTGGCAGGAGTATTTTGGTTCCAAGCAAGAGAGAACGCAATAGTCCTTGACTATATTTTCAAAAGGGCGTGACAGTTTTCGGTGGCTTACTCTACGAGTAACGGGTATAAAAAGAATATCGCCTCAGTTTGTTGAAAATTCCTATTGGAATTTATATTTACATTTAGCTCATTAATTTTTATGTCTACTTATTGTTAGGTTTTTGCATTTTGTTCTTCTACTTTTTACATGTTACATTTTACTGAAACTTAAGAGGTCCTAGATCTAGATTTACCTGATGAATCGATTTACCATCACTCATTGCATGCAACTTTCCCGAAACCGAAATTTTCTTTTGCAGGTTCTTTGTGAGTAATAAAATGTCTCAAATATCAGATACCGTGATTAAGGCCACCAAAATTGCCAGCACCGGAGGTACAAAAATTGCTCACACATTTTAAACAAATTATAAGTATTTGAATTGCCTTGCATTTGTACAATATTCCAAAACACGTAATCGCTTCGGTGTAAAAGATCTGCTTTCTTAATCTAAATATATTGAGATCTAGACGTTCAGACGGACAGTGGACATGGATAGATCGACTTTAGAAGAAAAACGTAAGCAATTTATTAAGTATATATATTTCTTATTAGGATAATTAGCCATGTCAATCTAGCCTTGTCCAGCTGTGCGTCCATCTGTCCTTGAAATCTAATCTAAGATTTCAAGGTTAGAATACAGTCTTCAGCAACGCAAGGAGTGCAAGTTTGTTTTAAAACATTATCACACCCACTCTAACTTTCACATACCCGTCCGGGTACCCCGTACATTTCCATTTGTAAATCGCAATTACATTTTGGCCATGCCATTCAAGCTATTATATTTAGACAATATAAGTTGGGGTTAGCATGCATACAACATTTTACTATCTTTTAAAACACAAAATAGCTTTAGTTGCTTGGGAACAGAGGATATGTAACTTTTTCGTTAGGTTTACAAGTTGAATTTTGAAATAGTCGTCGAACACTTTAACACAATATAAATGGTTCCCAGGACACAATAATATCGATTATAAAAGCAGCAACGCATAACTGAGAGAAAATAGCGAAAATCTGGAGGAACGAACTATAACAGATCAAATGTCAAATGAAACTGTCAACATTTTCGAATAGTTAAGCCCAGAGTTATTGTTGTATGTTTATATGTTTACATACATGTTTATATATGGAGCACTGGCTATGATCAGACTACCACAGCATACATATATTAAATTCTTCTTCTATTATGTCGTCATATAACGTACTGTCCGAAACAACAGAAAACGCCGAAATAAGAGCGCTGCCTCTTAAAAAGAAACTAAAGAGTCATCGATTCCTCAACCAAAACGGAAAAGCAGAGACACCTAGCGGTTGGTAGATATACTCAAATTTATTCTGACCCTTCAGTAAGTAGTTAGTAACGTGCACTTTAAAATTTATATTTTTAATGTTGCATATATAAATTTATACTCAACGTTATTTTAAATTATTACCCTCCCCTTCCGCAGCATTGCGCAAAAAGTAAAATGCAGGATATACATTAATTTACATTTTTATATGATAGCACACCTACGACCAAGGCAAAAGTGTGGTTGTCCCACGCAAACTTGGTCTCAGTTTGAAGCTAACGGCGTGAGAGTTCTAGCAGTCTTTTTTTCGGTTGCAGGTAAGAAGTTAATGGTTAGAATCGCACTTTTTTCGACATTCGGTTTTAGTCTATTGTATCTATTGCATAGATACTGCAAAATAATACAAAGTTGTGTCACGTGTATAACCTATACCCTTTAAATTAATTACAAAAGCTATATCTTAATTGTATGTACCAATGCTGTTGCTTGGGGAGTAAAATAAAAAAAAGCATGACCATATATTACAATCGCTGTTAGTTTTAATACCGTCAAAAAAATTTGAAGATGTATTTTCTCATCGCAATAACTGCTAAATATACAACATGCCTAACCTATCTACTTGTGAGTGAAATTAAACTTTTAAATGACCTTATATAGATTATATTTCTGAATTACAAAAATATCCAAATAAGATAACTAGACTTAAGGAAATCTCACCTTAAAATGGAAGACGTAAAGTCATCTCAAAACTCATTAGGTTATGCATTGTATAATCTTAACTGCTCAATTGGGGGTCGGTCGCAAAGTAGTTTTCCTTAATATTTCGATCCATTTTTATACCCGTTGCTCGTAGAGTAAAAGAGTATACAAGATTGGTTGTAAGTATGGCACAGGCAGAAGGAAGCGTTCCCGAGCTGTAAGTATATATATTCTTGATTAGGACTAATATACCAGTCGAGCTGGTCGTGAACACCTCAATCTCAGGAACTATAAAGGCTAGAAAGCATGCATGCAGCACGCAGCGCATGTTTGTTTCCAAATGTTGACACGCCCACTCTAACGCGTTACGCTTTTGAAAAATGTTTTGATATTTTTTTATTTTGTATTAGTCTTGTAAGTTTCTATCGATGTGCAAAAATACTTTTTGCACCTCTATTGCGTACTTTATCGCCCACAAAGCGCCCAAACTTGTCGCGCCCAAACTTGTCACGCCCACGCATTGACAATTGTTTAATTCCCAATGCCCAAAATTCTTTTCAGCTGCCTCGTTTTCTTTGGTAGTCTCAAGGAGAATGGGTTTTACAGCTTACCACGTTAGTAGTTTATACGACAGATGAAGCGCTAGCGAGGCCAATAGTTCTATGGGGTCCGCGATCCTTCATATACAAATTTACATAAGTACACGACATTACTGAACCAGATTCCCACCCGAAGGTCCTATGACTTGGGCTTTCAGATAATCTGGCCTAGGGCTTTTAGCATTTGCCGTGCAGGACATTTGGTCAGCTTTTTGGGTGTACGGATTTTTTGAGCATGGAAAGAGGAGGTCTCTCCATGAGAGGAGGTTTTCCATGAGAGGACTTTCCCATGAGGTACCTCAACGTAGAATAAGATCCAATGCGAAAAAAGTGAAAGGAAATTGGGCTGGGTGCTCGCAAAGGTTCTGACCAGGAGGGGGTGAATCAACAGGCGGATGGCTCAGTAAAGACCCTTCCAGAGATGCGCAGATAATGGAGATGGGGTACTTTTTTATTCATTGCTGTTTTTCAATACTGTTCTACCGTTTTTTTCATTGCCTTCTCATATCTTTCGGAAACATTTTTTTCTACGGTGTCGGATTTTTTCCAAGCACGGACTTTCGTGTATTAACGCGTCTAAAGCGGAGTACAAATCTGACCCCAATTATGGCATAAAAAACTTCCTTATTTAGAATGAGTTAAAAGTCTCCAATCGAGAATTTATATAAAATGCGAAAAAAAAACCGAATCATTTAGTGCTAAAAGTAAAAAAAAATAAACATTTTAAATATAAGTAATATATGTAAATATATATAGGTATATATATATTTATTGAAGTAATATGTATCGTATGATGCTATTAAATAAAATTCAACTTACTGGTCGGTATACTTTTTGTGTATGTATATACTAATATGGAGCTTTCAAAAAAGCTAGACTCCAAGCCAAAACAGGAATTGTGTTAATTAAAATTCTAAGTGAATGCTGCAACTTCCTTCAATTCTTCCTGCAGGTTTGGACTGCTTTGGAATGGCTCTGGAGTCATTCAAATAGGGTTAACCAACGCGGCGTTCTGCTGTTCAAGCAAACAAATTAATTGCAATAAATAGCATTTTCTGCTTTAGTCTGTCTAGTACCAACACTGCCAACACAAATTGAATAACAGGCACTTATGTAATCGGCTTCGCACAAATGGGCGAAACCGCGTCCAATTATTCGATGTGCTGAAAAAACTCGCAACAAGGCCCATCGCAAACGTGGTTGGGGCAGAGGTGGGTTACTTGTTCAACAGTAAAATGCAAACGCGAGCAGTGGTTTGTCCACGGGGCTCAGCCACGAGTTTTTTGTGCCAAAACATTTTCACACTTGCGATTTTAAGTGGCATCTGAAGCAACAGGAGATCCCTATTCACAGCACCATTTTTTCGAATCCCTTTTCACTGTTTTGTCCGGACCGACCTTTCGCTTACCCTTACCTGCAGCCTGTCCTCCACCTCCTCTCCATTTTCACTGGCCATGGCGGCATGTTAATTAACGTGAATTGCGGCACTCCTGAGCCACTGGACAGGCCGGCGGTCGTGGCTGGTGCGGCGCACAATATTTGTCCAACAACATAATGTGTTTGTTTAACTGGCACGGTGAA